GACGTCATAAAGCTCTGCCCCTCCCCCCCAAAAAAGATAAAACATGCTTCAAATCGCTTTAAACTATTGTCATTGCAGTGCGTATTTAATGTGGCGCTGCACTCTGATGTTGAAGGAGGAAACATTTAGTACAAAGTATATTTAATTAAGTAGAACGTGTTGTCCATATTTATTTAAAGTTGCGCATTTTAATGTGACGTCACATTTCTCAACCTCTCCCCCCCCCCCTCGTCACACATCGTCACAAATGTCTGACCCCCCCCCCCCCTCAGGTGCGTGACGTCATTTACGGACGGCCCCTTAGTGCAGCATCGCGAGGGAGAACCGATTTTTATTAGACTTGGTCAAGAAATGTTTTGTGTCAACTTTCGAATCGACACCTTCCAGACAGAGTGTGGGCAGGTGCCTGAAACCCCATCGCTGTCTCCCTTCTTCACCTCTGCCTTGTGAGTGGCGTGGCTGTGGAGGCCAAACTGGGCAGTGGCTCCATGCGGCCTCATGTCTTCATTAATAGCAGCACGTGCCCCCTGCTCCTGACTGTAAACATTACCACAAACATTATTCACCCGGTTAGCTTTGCATGCTGGAGGGACAAGTGTCATTGCAAATGTACACCGACCCCGGCTGTGCAGGTCGTGGATGTTATTTGACCACACTTTCACAACGCTGACCAGTACGGGTTGGTGAAAGTTGGCAGTATCGATGTGGGGACACATGCAGGAGTAAACTAAAACCCACAGATATTTTATTGTACTCGGTGAGGCCCACTGAGCGACATGGCTCTTTTTCAGAAGTGACCTGGCCACAACTTATAGCTCCAACCAAATGGCTTATCATGTGGACATTTATGGCAGGCAAATGCTCTAAACGCATGTTTCTAAATGTGGAGGGGGAAAACCGGAGGACCCGGACAAAAAAAAAAAACATCCACGCGACCACGGAGAGAGAGACACCGCAAACATCCAAATATACAGCAGGCGTCAGATTCGGGATCGAACCCACGGCCTCCTGCAGGCCAGGCGAGGAAGCTAACATCTCGCCACCGTGGCGAGTCTAATGCAACAATTGTTTGTGTTACACCGGTGGCTGCTGCCCGCAATTCAGCCCTGCAGTAGCCTACAATCCCTCCAAGATCTGTCCGGGACCCAAACTCGAGTCGGCAATGAATCCCGTACTCGTCCAACACAGAATCCGTGCCTCATGCGATGTAGAATCCTCGTCTCATTCAATAACCCCCCCCCCCCTCCGCCATTATTTGGAATGGCTTGGATAGCACATTCACCACTTCCACGCACAAGTATATACAATGCAGTAATTGTTTGAATTCCGCATATCCTAACAAAAACACGCTTTGTTACGTAACACAACATTTTACACATCAGTGCGAGTGACTATTTAATTTAACAAATAAACTGTAAATGGCAGGCTCTAATCACCAAACACAATATAAGGCAACCAACTTACCCTCCGAGCAATGTTTTCCAGAGAAACATATTTTAATAAGGAAACCACCTGGTCTTGTTTATACTTCTCGGTGTCTCACGAGTTCACCGCTCTGGCTTAGTAGCCGAAAAAAGCCCATTGAGCTGTCCATCTCATCTTCAAAGGGCGACTCGGTCGGCAGGCTGGTTCAGTCCCATACGTTGCGGTGGTTCTCAACTGGGGGGGGGGGGGGGGGGGGGGTACGCGGACCCCCTGGGGGCACGTGGCAATGTCCCAACGGGGTACGTAAGGTGATTGATAAATTGCGTGAAATTACATCATACGTGAGAGTCATTGGTGAAAAATCACGTATGAATCTGCCAATTTAAAATAACTACGATAACATTTAAATCACATATGGTAACTTAAGACGATAAAAAAGACCTTTCTAAACTCACTGATCGTAAACAACGGAGTTTCCAAGAGTAAGCAGCGAGCGCGAACAAATTACATTACGCAAGAAGAGTGTTTATTGATTTGCTTTTATTCGCTTGCAGTTACGAGCGAGTTAGGATATATTTTGATTTAAAGCTTTCGTGACTGCAGGGATTCATATTCTTGGTTCTTTCGGTAAAGTCACGTAGAAGGGAAACAATAACATAATAAAAATATAAAACAATAAAATTCTCACGACGTTTCGACTGCAACACAAGCAATCGTCACTGCTGTGGTTTTCACACCTGATGATGATTGCTTGTGTTGCAGTCGAAACGTCGTGAGAATTTGATTGCTTTATATTTGTATTATTTTATTGTTTCCCTTCTACGTGACTTTACCGAAAGAACCAAGAATATGAGTTAGGATATACCTCACAAAATGGACGAATCGGTTAAAATATTGATGTTCATTAATTCATACATTTCTTTCTTTCTCAAAACCATGTTTGGCTCAGAAGAAGGGGGCATTCTCGGTTGAAACTAAATTCAACCAAGGTGTAACAGTAGCCAAAACGAGGGTTGAGAACCACTGCCACATGGCACGGTCATCGCTTATTGCGGCACGGCACACCAGCCCTCTCGATTGCCACCGTTCGCCGAACACAATCGAAAGCCCCGGCCACCGCCACCGCCACCGCGTGTCCACATACCCGCAGCACTGCCTCTTGGTAGAGCGGTCCCAGGTCTCCACCCAAACGTTGCGACTTTGGCACAGCCGCGGCCAAACATGTTCCTGTCTCCCAGGTCACATATCCCAAATGGAAGCGCAGCGTCGCAACCCAGCCTCGCACAAAAGGAGCTGACGTCGCATGCAACGAAAGTGGATACGCGCCGCTCGCGTCACGCTGCCCCGCTGCCGAGTGTTGAATTCCGACTCGGAGCTCGTGAATATTTTACCGACGCATTCGTTATTCAGTGGCGTTGTATTTTACCAACCGCTCGCCGACAACAAAACATAACGACGCACCGGCCGCGCTCTCGCTGCGGGGCCGGCGGGAGTGACTCGGGATGGCTGAAGGTCACGGAGGATTTAGCGGAGGCGAAACGTGTCCTCTTCTTCCACATCCACAACACAAAGGTTATCTGTTGTGGATATGGAGTTGATTTAGCCATCCAGTTGCCTCTGTGGAAGCTTGGTGGGTGTCGGTGAAATTGCCCGCCAATTCGGCGATGCAGGCGGCAGTGCTCAATCTCGTGTTCCATGCTCTGCGAATCGGTGTGGGGGGCAGTGTGGGATCATGTGAGAAAGCTCTGTGAATCGGCGGTGCGGGGGGCAGCGCTGGATCACGTCGTCCATCTTCTGACTCTTTGGATCGCAGCAGTCACACTGCGGACTGTTCTTCATTTTCCGTCATCGATGGAGGTGACCGCATCTGCCGTGCGCTGTTCTGCAATGATTTAGGGCTGACCACTCTGTCTTAAATAGGAGTTGAACCCCCGAGAGTTCTTGCATGTTTAGTGACTGCCTTGGAGACACTAAGAGTAGGAGGCACTCTGTTTATTAATACAGCCTGGCAGTTAACACTTTATAACTCGTCACTATTTGAACTCCGGTTCCCAGTCAGGACAGCTGGTAGACTGCCTGACTGGCGACACCGAGATGGTGAAGACGGAGACGACGGTGAAGACTCCAGCAGCAGCAGCACCACGGGGATCCCCCCACTCCAAACGACAGCCCTGAGGTCCCCTCCCGGGGCCCCTCTTTTACTCTCAGCGTGGCTTGGCTCCGCCCCCAGCCACATCCCTTCTGGAACCTTCCAGCGGGTTCTCGGTGTGCCCCTTTCGTAACCCTTCCCCTAGATCCCTCTCTGGTCTATCACGTGGCCTGCTGTCTGTCAGGGCTGCTGTAAGCTGCAGATCCCCTTCCCCGCCAGCAGCCAGCGCTATGCTGCGACGTGACCGATTCTATGTCACTACATACAAAGTCGGTAGCGAGCTCCTCGTGTGCGGCGATGTTGCGCCACAATTCCTGCCACCCTTCAGGGAGGAAAAAGGATCTCGCGTTGAGAAGTCATCCTGGTCATTGGTCCCCCAGCGACAAGGTCTACTCTAAACCAAACTATATTTGATGTTTACCAGGTAAGGCCTACCGAGCTAAGTAGCTCATTTTTCATAAGCGACCTGGCCACAAATGATAGCTCCAACGAAATTGCTTATCACGTGCACATTGATAGTAGTGGCCAAATACTATAAACGCCTGATGTTGATTCTAAATGGAGGGAGAAACCGGAGAAAGGTCCACACGGCCATAGGGAGAGCGAACACGCAAACTCCAAATATACAGCAGGCGCCAGGGTCGGAATCGAACCCACGACCTCCTGTATACCAGGCGAGTTAGTCAACATCTCGCCACAGCAGTGTCATCATCCCCTTGAATGCTGACCTCTGGGTGTCACGCCAATACAATGTGCGGTGTCTTCTTGCCACATTTTATCCAGGGTGACAAGATAATAAGTTGCCACCTTTGAATGTTACCATGGTTGTCAAATCGTATTGGCTAAACTCCCGACACAGACATATGGAATTATCACCACACTGGCTTAGTGCCAAAGGAAACGAGCACCAAGAATATATTCGGAAAATAAATTATTAACAGCTCCGTGTAGATCCACTGCAGGACGACGGCTTCTCCAAACCGTAACATTCGTGGGGCTGTTTCACCATACTTCACCGGATTGGTCAGTGCAGGTTGGCAAAGGGGGTTATCCAGGTCGATGATACTGGACATCTATGTCACTCATCGGATTCCTCCAGTACAAATACATATTCTGATACCCATAGCCGGGCATAAAACATTCTGGTTGCTCGGTTCAAAAGCCAGCGCCGCTAACCACTGGCCTACAGCTCCACCCCGTCAAGTACATAAGACTTAAAATAGATGCACTGCATATAGTGGGTATAGTGAAATTCTACTTACCTACGTGGGTTGATATGGGGGACGCAATTGGTAGAAACTGTGCAAATAACTCTAGATACCTTTGCGGTTGCCTGCAGTTGAACACGGGCTGATCCTCTCATCAATAAGTATACTGTAAATTGCGTGACGCTGTGTATTGAAATGAATGGAACAAAATTCACGAATAAAAAATGCAACAACATTCTTTATTGTTCTATTGTGCATACGCATGATGTACTTTGTCATACATTTCGGGTAAACTCACTACACGTAGATGCACAACACGTTTGCATACATTCACTTTACGTATGATCATACACACGTACACGCATGTCATTGTACATCAAGCGCACGTGCAGTCACACTTGATCGCCATAGCCCAGTAGCAGACACCAACTTCAGTAGTCTTATTTTGAACATTAAGTGTTTGCGGACACTCGTCCAACATCGGTGCAAAGAAATGCGAACAATTTACACATTTAAAGTTCCAGGCTTAGCACGACTCGAAACAAACTTTCAACCAAACGATGCACAGGCTCAAAGTCGTTAGTGTGGCTGAATGCCTGCCCATTCGACGTGGTGCAATGCCGGTAGGTCCATCGACCCTAACAGCATGTGACGAAAATGCGCCCAATTGTCACATCTCAGAAGCTAAGCAGGATTTGATCAAAGATAATACTCGGATAGACAACCACCCACGCTTGCCAGGCTGTCATTGGTGGATGCGGAGCTGTGCTACATGGTGGTCAGTAGACCGTGGCGCAACAGAATGCAATGTTGTACTGCACGTCTATGTTCCCTCGTCTATGCTCCCCATTTCCGTCAACATACATGGCCCAGCGTGGTGGTAGTAGACGTAAAGTTATATATAATGCCCCCCCCCTTACAGCTTGAAGTGTGGGGAGGCCTTCATCCAGCAGTGGACTGACAAATGACTGTACGTGTACATCCAACAGTAGCATAAATCAAGAGTGATTAAATCAATGCAGGGACCCGGCCACATATCATGGCAGCCACCATGCAACAATTGCTAAGAGCAGCAAAAGACTGACGTTAAATTTAGTGATGTTCACAAACGTAACGGTTCCATTTTTATCTGCTTTTTAAAAGACCACCGGCTATACGGCACCACCTGTGCTACGGGGCATACACGAAGTCACTGGGAGTGACTACGCCTAAAGAAGAACACCTGTATGGTGTGCGAGGGGGGGGGGCCTTTAAAAAGTGTGCGCTGGCGTTGAGCACTATGGTCACACACGACATAGCTTTTGACTGCCGCGTCAATGCCCTCTCTATAAATGTTTAATGCTGTCACTTGAGAAGGCGCTACCTTGCTGACAGTGCATAAGCATCACGGTTGATTACGTAGTCCGTTAGTATTCATTTGTCGCCATAGCCCCACACACACATTTTATATTATTAGTTGCAGCGACAGTGATTGATTTACGTTGTACAATGTGTTTTGATTTCCGCAGTGTATATATTAACCGGATGTATATTGGTCAGAATTAAGAGGTGCGGGATTGGGGCTTAAGCAATATAATCAGTCTGTCAACTGATTGCTCCATGTTTTAAAAGCAATGTAACAATAATCCAATATTTAGCATTTTCAAATAAACACAGCGTCCATACTTTGATATTTTATAATAATAAACTTGTTTAATTCAAATACGTTGTCCTTAATGTCAACCTAACAGCACTCTAATTACATTTCAGCCTGTGGTGGATTCTGTGTGCAGTCGACCGCTGCCGTCCTTGCATTGTCGACCTGTTCCGTCATTTTCGGACTCATCGGTACAGTCGTCACAAATGCTCACTGCTGCGAAGTCTGCCCGTGGAAACCATGTACGTCTCCACCTCCCACGGTTAAATGTGACCACGGGATGTACTCTCACACATTCCGATTAGCACCGTTGGCTAAGCACGGTGCAAAAGAAGTTCAACATACATTATATACATAGTTTCAGGCTCAATTTGTGCGCGCGTAACAAAGATAATAATGGATAAATTAAGTCAGCCCGGTCACGTGTACTCGCATTTATTTTGACCGAGGATAAGAGGACCGCAATGTATTACTGCAGGAAATTCCGATTGTTTTTTTGCTTAACGCACTCGTGTACCGAGTACACGTGCGCTGAGTAACACGTGTCTGTGCGTGTGATATTTGAAACTCGTAGTTTTCCAGCTTAGTCCTGTTACGATGGCGGGGCTTTATCGTCATTTATGGATTTTATTAACCCAATTACTTTTAACTACCTTTCAATTATTTGTAACTGAGAGTCATCTTCATAAGTAATCAGTACAAGCTGAGCAAAATGAATCTGATTACAGCAATGCATGATTACCAAAGAGTGCACAGTGCCTAAGATTAATGAATCAGTAGTTCGGTCATGCCAGGTTTTGACAGCCACGTAAAAAATACAATTATATTTAAGTTAAACTTTCTACATTTTTCTGTCCAAAACATAAAGCACAAACCACGTATTACCTATCATGTAAAAGTGCGCACAGCTATTTGAACTCACAATAAACTACATTCAACGCAAGTAAAAAATAAATATATATTTAAACCACCCTTGTGTTAATCGCAGCTATTTTAGTAACAAACCCAGGCACCACCTTGTCTAGAGCTGTTGGAAGGTTTTAATTTCAACGGTCAGAGAGCAGTTCAACTCAGCCCATCGTCTGTCTGTGTGTATCAATTTGTGGCAGGCTAACAATGCTTGTGTACTAATTTGTGGCAGGCTAACAATGTCGGATTTCCATTGCTGGCCGAGGGCCACCAATATCACGCTTGGCTACATACGGTGCAAAATAAAATTCAACATACATACGACAGAGACGAGTGTCACGTCACGTTAGTTTGAGCAGAGACACTTTGACATTTAAAAACCTATTTTGATTTTGAGTATTCAATTACATTTTTATGTTGCAATATCTTGCTCACACCACTGCTGGTAGAAGCGACTCCTCTAAGGGCAGCTCTAAAGTCCCCCTATATGGTATTTTTTTTTATCCTACTCTTCCACACTGACCAGACGTCTTGGAAGAGGTGGGAATACCCAAGCTTTACCCACCACACGTGACCTAACGATCAAATGTGGTGTACCAATTTATACTGCTGGGTGGACAGAGCCGGGGGGGGGATGGAGGACGGTTTAAGAAACCTGCCCTCTGTTTAACAGCAGTGCGAGATCGAATAGGTAACCTCTGGATTGCAAGTCCAGTGTGCTGGTCATTACGCGGGGGAGGGGGGGCAGCATCAGTTAAAGTTATGCTATACATTTTCTGCTACTCAATATCAGTTGGCTCTAGTAACGCTGGTGTTGTTCATACCCACACGAGAGACCAAGCAACGTACACACACAGCGCCATACACTCTGGTTAAGGCAATGTGTCCAGGCAAAGTTCACTCTCAACACGGGTGGCGATGGCTGTAATGTGAAACGCATAGTAGAGTGTACCTTCAGTTAAGACTGATCATGTCCTATGTACAACTCGCTCCACTTACGAAACAATGTCTTTTTTTAGGACTACGTATCACAGTAATGGCACGATACAAAATAAGCTTTCTTCTGCAATTCAAATAGCCGGCAGAAGATCACGTCACAGAACAGCCCTCGGAGAGATAGAACTGAACCACTTCAATCAGCCCTCTGCCACTCAAAGCTAGATTTCTCCTCTTTTACACTATGGTGCAAAGAGTGCTTTGCCACGTAGCAGTCAGTCCCATACCTTCACAGATTTTAATCAGAGCTCGGCTGAATTGACCATAGACCGCATTTATTGAGTTTGATTTTTCTGCAGTATTTATTGATCAGATTGAGCCTCATCACCTCTCTAGAATTGAGAATGCCCATTTAATTCACAGGTGAGACTCTCGAACCCGAGTTAAAACTCTGGATTTCAGTAGTGCCACCTCAGTGGCTGTACGACAACCACTGAGTATTCCGCGCCATCTCAGTCAACTCGATAAGATTTTCGAATATTCACAGGTGCCAAGTTGAATATGTGAAATGCATAACAAAACGCCACTTAGTAGGTTATTAAATTAAGCCTAAATAATCGTTCACTATACGTTTGATATAATATAAAAAAATAGCTTACAAAAAATAAGTTATATTTAAACATTCAAGCTGCCAAGCTTGCTTCATATCAAATTCCAGTGCTGTACAATAAATTTTCATGCATACGCGGACACAGACATATAACCCACATACCCCCAGACGCCTAGAAGTGGCATTGCACACCAGCAAAATCCAAATAATAACTCTTTCAGACACCCGATACTTGATGGATGACAGCAGTGACCCGTTATTTAAATCGTACGACTTGCCATTCGTTCTTAGCCGTCAAGCAGGCGATACGAATAGCGTTACAATGTTGGTTGCGCACAGAGCATTAAATGCTTATCAGTAGTGTTATTGGAGTGCACGTGATATAGGGGGTCAGCGTTAAGTAAAGCAGAGGACAACTCAAAAAGGGCTCGTTTTCACGTAGACACACACACGCACATTTTGATTTTGCAACTCAGGCCGTCGTCCCACATGCGTTCAATACAAGTGTCCCAGTGCTCAAACGAGCGGGCAGATGATTAGTGCTGCACTGTCTGGAACGCCCTCCCGCCCCTCCCCAAGTCATCGCCACTGCTAACTCCTCCCTCTACATTCCTTCTCCCCTTCTTCCACTCGAGCTTAAATTTCAAGAGGGGCAGACAGGCAGCCAGTTCAAGGCCTAGATACTTTTCTCTTTTAGAAAGTCCTTCATCCTATCAGGGTTGCTTGAGGTGGGTGGGCACTTTGTGGAAAGCTCGAGATTAAATCCTGTGGCAAAAAAGTAAAGTTTCCACCCCGACTCAGGCGCACCAATGAAGGAGATAAGCACTGCCGCATTGCTCAGTAATTTGGTATTTTTATTCAATAATAATCTCTCTACATATCCAGCCTGGTTGTGCTTGTTCCAGAGCATTCAATTTATCAATCAAAATGTTGCAAAGTTCAAATTCTAGCTGCCCAGGGCCAACTGAGCACACTGCCCTTACCATGGCTCCTGGGCCAATAAGCTGAGCACTTGTGTGTGGGAAGTCATCAGCGGTCACCTTATGCAGAGACTGGGCTGACAAAGGAATGCAGCATTTCCACAATCAGCAATGAAGAGCCAATGGAGAAGGAGTGGCACGCCACACTCATTTGAACACGGATACACTTGTTGTCTTGATAGGTAACCCCCCTTACTGACTCACACGCTCACACTCCAGGGTCAATTGCCTGTACTGCTCGAGACACCGACCACCGTAGTCACATGCTGATGCTGCGCTGGTGCTGCTTACTGCTCCCTCGCACCCAGAGCGCCGAGCCCCCTGCGGCCGCGGCCGCCTGTGCCTCTGCCTCCGTCGACACCGCCGTCGCTGTCCCTCTTCGCCCCTCACTTCCTGCCCTCGGCCCGGCTGCTCCGTCGCTCCCACACAGACTCAGGGTGTCGGCCAGCCCGGCCAGGTGATCCACCGAGTCGCACTTCTGCAGGTCGGATGCGAAGCTTCGCAGGCTTCCCAGCGACAACGAGTCGCCGTCCGGCTCGGGCCATGCGTCCGGTGGCAGCGCCAGCTCCGATTCCGCGGCATGGAAGCTCAGCGCGAATTCCAGGTCAGCGTCGGAGCGGAGGGCGTTGAGCGCCGCTAGGGAGCGGGTCGTGCCACCTTCCGATCCGTCCCGGAATCGCGGGGGCATGGCCTGGCCCTCCGCCCCCAAGACATCGCGTACACTTCGCTCTGGGTGCTTCCTGCCCTGCCGTGGTGGCAGACCATCCCACTGCACAACGTTCTTCTCCTCCTCCTCCGCCTCCTCTTCCTCCACCTCATCTTCCGGCAAGTAAAATTCGCCCACGGCATCGAGCTCTGGAACGCAGGTGAGTGTCGGCACGCTCACTTGCACCGCCTCAATGAGATCCTCATCCGAACCGGACTCCGAGGTGGCGCCGGTCTCCGCGCGGCTCAGCTTGATGGTGGGAACGGCGGAGAGCGGAGCCACACCCAGGGGATCATGGGAATCCCACTCCGGGGATGCAGTTCCATCGCCAGAACTTCCTGCTTCCTTATTGCTGGATTGCCGTGACTGCGTTTGCTGCCGGCTCTGCGTCTGTGGTGCACACTCTCCTCTGTGAATTTGAAGGTCATTTGGCAGCTCTTGATGCCTGTGTTGTTGTTTGATTTGCTGGTTCTCTTGATCGGGTTCCTGTTGCTTGGTCGGCAGCTGGCCGGGCTGCGGCGACGGCTGCTTCCGCTGCTGCTGGGGCCGAAGCTGCCGTTCTTTATGCATCTCCTCACTGATCTTCTCGAGGCTCCGCAGGGCGGCTGCATAGCGAGCTTTGGCATCGCGGGCCTTCTTTTCGAGCGACGTCACGTTGGATTTGTTCTCCTGCAATGTACAAAAGGGTGGATCGTTTAACACAGATGCGAACTGCACTGTACACAATGTGGATGGGTGGTTCAGTAGGCTCAGGGTGACTGTTTCGGAAAGACTTATTACTCATGGCCCTGCGAGAGGCATGAGGCAGCACCTCTGAGATAAAGAATTCAAGGACTGGGACTATATCCCTCTCGTCAAATGCACATTGGCAGTGACAGAACCCTGAGCCGGCACAACTGAGACGCTGAGCTTGACTCTCGGCAGCCACCTGCACCTTAGCTGGGTTTCAAGTGGAGTGATCTTATGATCTGTGCCCATTGACCACACACAAATCATCCTATACTGTGTATTCAATTTGATTTAAAACTTGTTTTTTGCAATGATACTGAATGTGAAGGAGAGTGATCTTGTCCAGTGGCAGTGGAAAGTCCACATTCCTATGGTGGGGCCAAGTCTTTCTATGGGTCAACCTCTATTGCATCCCATAAAATCTTACTCACATTATTGTACTAACCTTAGGACTATAACAAGTTGAATCCAATCCCGACAAGCAATTAATTGTTGATGCCATCACTCCCTGCTATCGCTTCCTTAACTTTGGCCAGATATGCTAATGTTTCAATCAACACCTAACATCCAAGATCACTCTTACCGTCTCATCATCACTACCTGGCTTTAGGTATTGTGCATGGTTGCCGACCTCCGGCTGCCAATCCTGTGCATGTCTTGCTTACATGTCCTTCCTTTACGCTGCACTGGTGCCTCCTCCACCTCAACCTCCTCTCCTTGATTACACCCACAATACTTTATGGCCAATGTTCAAGTATCAAGTTGCTTACCATATCCTTTCATTAAGGTTCCTAGCGTCCTGTGAATGCACGTGTCCTTAAAAGGCCACAGGCTTCTTTACTCGTTGCTTTTCTAAAGCATCCCACCCATCGCAATCGACGCTTTCCTCCCATGTCCTATTCCAAAACGTTCAAGCCGCAATCTTCTAGCCGCTAGCGTGACAGTGAACGCACGAGGATCGCGAGGGAGGGGGAATTTAGTGCATTCAAGACCTCGAGCTGAGCTCCCAGCGTGGCCTTGAGAGTGAAGTACGGGCGCGACTTCATCACCACGCGGCGCAGCGACGATGCCAGCTGCTGCAGGTGCCGCTCGGCATTCTGGGAGCGGAGCGCCCGGCTTTGGTGTTCCCTCTCACTGTGCAGGCGGTCGGCCTCTGCATCATTCACCTGCAGCGCACGTGCGGGGGCGACAATGATCAAAGACGTAGGTTCTGTGTTTAGAGATGTATAGCATAGACTACAGGGGCAGGTGCCGTGCAAAGGTCAACGACGAAAAGTCGTCATCACAAAGCAATGTGGTTAATGCCACTGTGCACTGGCACTTTTTTCCCCTCTGCTAGATCACGCAGCATGCCATAGTGGTGGTTGATGGCTGGCAGAAGACTCCACTACTATTGTTTGTCTCTGCAACAGGCCTATTTAAAGCTTCATATCCCTTGGTTAGTTGTACTAAATTAGCAGTCCCACTACCCTAGTTTTGGACGAACCCTGCTCATGAAATCGCCCAACTCCCATTACAAGGACAGTCTTAGAGATAATGGTTTGTGTGTGTGTATACACACATGCTGCAATTGTCTCCCGAGTATTGATCTTTACACATCACACACCAGGTACTCAGTTGAGGCCCAGTCAACCAAGGAGAGGCCCAGGACCGGTTCAGATAATCTTCACTAGCATTGGCCATCGAACTCGGGTCGCCAGGTTTGTGGCGCAGTGTCTTAACCGCTACGATACCGCTCCCTCCACACACACACGTATATAACGATACCTTTATGGTGGCATGATTGAGCATCTCTTGCCAGGCTGGATCGAGGGTGCCGCCCCTGCAGGCCAGGCCCTGCTCGGCCACGCACACCATCTCCCTGGCGGCGGCGTGCATGCTGACGGCACGCTCGTACCGCAGTGCAGCGCGCTGTGCCTCCGCCTGGGCCTGAAACACGCTCACATATACGCACACACACATACGTGCACACACACGTACATGCGCATACACACGTGCGCACACACACACACGTGCAAACACACAGGTATATTCGTACACATACATGCACACACACACGTGCACACACACGAACAGACACATACGTGCACACACACAGGTACGTGCACACACACAAGCATACATGTGGACACGCACACATTAAACATGTTTGCACATACAATAATACACAAAGAAACATATATACTATACAAAACACTCATCATTAGCCATGATCAATCCACTGCTGGAACAAGGCCTTCCCAAAAAATTGTTCAGTCTTGCGATGAAACAATCCACCTTGTACTTGCTCATGAGCCCATTTCATTGCTCCATCTCTGTGGTGGACATATTCTCGGGCATCTTTGGTCCTTTGGCTGCCACTCTGTCATTAGCCTTGACCACTGGCTATCATTCTTTCCACGTAAACTGCCGAAGCCCCCATTATCTTTATTAATGGTCAAAATAATATCTACAACTAGGGTAGGTTATCAAATCCACGCGGTCAACTCTGTTAACCCAAAACCACCAAAACACACATCCATAGACAACAAAAACAGCTGCCAATCGGCACTATGTGGCGACAATGTCTGGATACAAACTAAGATCTCCAGTTTAAACTTAAAGGACCTAATGCCTTTTAAGGTAAGCAGGACTCTATACCCGAAAACCTTTAGCTTCACAGCACTGACATTGACACACCATATCTCCTATGCATATGTAACGGTGTTATGGGGCCAAGATGCGCCGTTCCCCATGCAGTTGCAGGCAATACCGGCCACAGGCCAATAGGGGACAACAGAGGGGCTGAGCCCCAATGCTGAGAGTCTATGGGCCAGCGCCCAACGGTTACCCTATGTAACAGTATGCAAAAAGGAGCTGACCCCAGACCCCAGGAGGGGGGGCTGGGGGATGACATCATCCCCAGATCCTTCTCGAAGGTTCGAGAAGGAAGGCGTGGCCGGGGCGGAGCGAGCCACGGCTCTCTATAAAAGCCGGACCTCTGAACGGTCCCGGCAGTCGTCGTCCAAGACAAGAAGCCTCCTGAAGACTGAAGAGCCCTAAGGGCAGAGCCGTACCTCTGGCAAGGGTCGGCTCTAAGCTTGTTTACCAGTGAAGATTCAAGCTTCACTCAAGGAGGACGTGTAGATTAGCCAGTGAGAGGCGTGGTAGTCTGGAGCGTAACCTCCATAGTGTATCGGGTGCGAGGGGCCGTTACCTCTCTGTGTTAATTGTTAAATAAAAACTGTGTTGTCTCAGAGAAGCTCTCTTCTAGTTATTCAACCCACTACACATTTAAGGCTGAATGTATCGAAGAGAGGCCAAGAATATCCAGAAATCCAAGTCCAGTCATTGTGATTGTAGTGGAGGGCACATGGTGAGATGGCAGCCCCTCTTTCCTTCAGCCCCACCAACTTTTACATTGCTAAGCTCACTCCTTTGCCAACCCCACCCACTACCCAGAAAGCTTCAACCTTTGCCCGCATCATGAGTCGAGCATGAGGCCAGACAATCGTAAAGTGGGACGATGTCCCAATTATGACAAATGCTTTCAGACACAGGGACAACTTTTCTGAAACCGGGACTGTCTCAGCCAAACCAGGCACGTCTCGGAGCTTTAACAATACCAATACCCGCCATTCGCCACTAAGTGACGGTGACGTCACCACTGCACCTGTGCCAAGCCAGGTGCACTTTGAGGGCTTAACGAACAAAGACAAAAATCCCTCGTACAGCCTTAATAGACTGTTGAGGCAAGTGCTGTTAGCGAGCACCTATGAAGGCTGGCAAGGCACACGAGGGGTGTGGGTGGCCAACACCACGCCCGTCCGCATTTGTCTCCTGAGTTCCAATGTTTACAAACCGTACCAGGAACTATTTTGAGGCTCAGTCGACCGAGGGGAGGACCAGTTCAAATAAACAAACACACACACAGACGCCTTTACATCCACACCTGCAGACAAAATACTGACCTCTTTGGCTTGCCGTCTGGCTTCATAATAAGGCCGTGCCCGCTCCACACAGCTGCCCAACTTCGTTGCGCACACATTTAGCTTCTTTGCCGATTCAGACAGGACCCTGCAGTACTCAGCTCTGGTCGCCTGGGGGCGAACACGGGCACACGTTTAAACGTACACACTGGCATGCCGAGCTGTGAAAACAAAGGAGCACCGAGCACACACGTCAACACACGCATGCAGGTCTGGACACACGCATCCCCCCCTCCCCATACACACAGACAAACACCTAAGTAAACAGACACGTATTCTTGGGTCTTTCGGTAAAGCCACTAGATAGATCTTGACTTAAAGCTTTCGTGACTGCAGGAATACATATTCTATGGGTCTTTCGGTAAAGCCACGTATATATAAAAGAATATCACGACGTTTCGATCACTTAACACAAGCAATCGTCTTCAGGTGAGGACGATTGCTTGTGTTGTGATCGAAACGTCGTGATATTTGTATTATTTTTCTATCTACGTGGCTTTAATTCTAGATTTGAAGCTTTCGTGACTGCAAGGATTCATACTCTTTGGTTTTATTCGGTAAAGTCACGTAGATAAAATATGATTTAATTGTTTTATTTTGTTTTATTTTACTGAAGAGAAACCAGAGTACGTAGCTTTACCAAAAGACCCATAGAATCACGTACATAGGTAAAAACAAAAATAACAAACAAAAAACTACGACGTTCCTTTTCCTGAAGACGACCGCTTGTGTTGCGATCGAAACGTCCTAGTTTTTGGTTCTTTTTTGTTATTTTCTTTGAACCTATCGACGTAACATTCCCGAAATACCCAAGAATATTAATTCCCGCAGTCACGAAAGCTTTAAGTCAAGATTTAAACAGACACGCATACACACATGGGTGAGTACACATTCTCGCACGTGCACATATATACCCAAGCATAAAGTTACCCAATCACATGTAAATAAATACACACACACGTGCAGTGGAACTCACTCTATAGCACACACACACATGTAGGGAAACAAACACGCAAACTTACACACATGATGCTGAAAATTACGTAATATAACAGCATCATTTGGGTGTCCGCCAAGTGCCAAGGGGTCCAGATAATTAAATCTTTGCTTGCTCAATATTGCTCACCTCACTGCTGTAACTTGGCTGAATCATTTTAATTGGGTTCAGTAACTGCTGCATTTACGACCAACAGACACTGCTCACTGTACTGCAATGGTAATTTTATTGACCAGGTGGCATTATGCCTAAACGATCATCTCACCTTGGGAACTTTGTGAATTCACAACCCCGCGTGAGTTCAACTTAGCCCATCACCCCCTATAATTAATTAAATGAGTAACACTTTGTACACAGCCAACAGTGCTTGTCATGTGGACAGCCTGGTCCCCACCATGGTTATGTGCTATTTCCCCCACTGGCTCACGGCCGCCAAATAAAATTGGCACTGCGGCATGCTCGTTTGAGCAAACACACGCTTTCAATCTTAAAGGTTTCTCAGCTCATAAACGGTGTAGTACAAATACCAGTCCCTAATGCAAAACAAGCGAACTCGGTAATCAGAATACTGAAAACGGTTAAACCGGTTAAACTCTTGGACCAAGTGAGCATTGTGCTTGCCTCTACACGTCTGTGGGGAGACATGCTGCAAGCATGCATCTAAAATTATGTAATAATTTGCTACCTGTTGTCAATCATTTTCTAGATGAAGGGCTCCCCAGGGCTCACACCACATAGGTTAGTACAGATTTGTGAACGGTTGCGACCAGGACCGATTCAGATTTCAACCATCACTATGTTGGACAGGACTGAGAATTGAACGCAGACGACGTTGACTTACTGTGAGTTTCACTTCCAGCTCATTGATTTCTTCACTTGCTTGGTTTAATTTCTCCAGTTCCTCCTGGAAAAGGTGTGTGAGAAAGAGAGAGAGAGAAAGGCAGTGATTAACAGTGTGGCTTTTGGGTCCCCTCTTGTGCGAATCTGTAAAAGTATTTGCCCCATGGGCACTTGTCTGCCACTGGGCCCCCAATTGATATCCTCCTTGGCTTTCTGAGCGAGGGTGAAAGACACACGTTTGAGTGGAAACTGTGTTGTGGGGTGGGGAAGCGGCATGAATGAAAGTGAGGGCCCAGTCCCCGCCCCCGCAGTCTTTATAATCAAGAGTCCTTCTGTTCTGTTCCTTGAGCCCAGTTTTGTATCAAACCAAAGTCTGTTTTCCCTGCTCAAACAAGAAATTGGATGGTGCTCAGATGGTGCTCATCTCTATTGGCAGCCCCATGCCAGTTATAACGTGAATTTCTTTTGCACCATATGTGGCTAACCGTGCTCATCGGAGGTGTGGGGGGGGGAGGGGGAGAACAAACTTAGCATAAAAAGGAGTTCTAAAGAAATGAGTTTTCAATTCCCAAGGCAGGGACCCGTCTCTCCCGGTGATAAACATTACTGACCGCCCAGAAAATGATACTTATTTTATCGACATCAGAGGAAGCATGGACCAAGTTGACCCCTGAGTGGGATTCGAAAAAAATAGAGTAATATATACATAATTGCTAATACTGTCCGTGCAATGGACTGCTCATGTAGTGTACAAGCGATGAGTAACCATATGCAACCATAGCACACACAATCCTCTTGCTGTTCTTCCTCAGCCTCCCACTGCGTCTGTTTTCGAACCATTGTCTCTCCTCCCTTTGGTTCACATCCTGTCCCTTGTTTGCACATGCACACGAGGGAAGTGTTCAGTCTTTCAGGGTCGTTGTCAACGACGGACCAGGACTGTACACTGTGCATTTCAGCATAGAATGCAGTGTGACGGGACCGCGCAATTAAATATTTTACATATTTCAAGTTTATTTTATTTCCCTACCAGCGTTCCAACTGCACTATATTGATTTGAAGTTTTCGTGACTACAGGAATCCATACTCTTTGGTTATTTCGGCAAAGTCACGTAGGTCGAGAAAATAAATAATAAATCACGGCGTTTCGATCGCAACACAAGCAATCGTCATCAGGTAGAAAGATACAGCAGTAGAACTGCTGAACAAGAAAGGGCTGTTGCAACACGAGGTTATATAGAGGTGTGAGGTGGGTGTCACCCAAGGGTAAGTAGGCGGGGTCAGAGATGCAAAGGAGTCCCGTCGCCGTACGCACGCACAACAGCTGCGCCAAAGGAGGATTGGCATGTTAATGTAAACGAGCACAACGTGAAATGAGCCCCGTAGTCGCAACACGAGCACCGTCTTCGTACGCACGCACAGCAGCTGCGTTAAAGCAAGTGAAGAAATCAACTGCTGTGCGTGTTATGTATATCGTTTATTGCTAAATTTAAAATCACAGTTCCTATGATTACTGTTGTTGCATTGTTTTTATAGCTTTATTTTGGTGATTCGAAAACATATGCTGAATCTAAATTGTCTCATGGTTGTTGTTGTTGGCTTGCACCACATTGATTTTTGCACACAGCGTTTTAATACGTATTTTTTTGTGTGTGGAATATTTGCTGGTTTATTCCGGGATGTTTCTGTTACGCGTTGTCGCTTTAAGATGTTCTGTGTTCAAATATTGTTTGTTGCGGTTGCACCCGACTTAAGAGCCGCATGGCTCACAGGGCTATACCTAATAAATTAAACTTGAAAACTTGAAACTTGAACTCCTTTTCATCTCTGACCCCGCCTCAAACCTCTATATAACCTCTTGTTGCAGCAGCCCTTTCTTGTTCAGCAGTTCTACTGCTGTATCTTTCTACCTGATGACGATTGCTTGTGTTGTGATCGAAACGTCGTGATTTTTTTTTCTACTTACGTGACTTTTCCGAAAGAACCAAAGAGTATGCACTATATTATTCGGGGTACAGTGGAAATTACATTCGTATCTCAAACTCCCTTACTACTCACTCATCACAGTGGCTAATCATCCTCAAGTGACACAGATGTCCTATGCAGAGACATGCCCACACCATAACAATGTACACAATTTTCACTGCTGGTTGAGGACTGCCAACATTCAGATGACCATTGCCCCATGCTTGAGTAGGGGGGGAATAAATCGTTGTAGGCCTTATGTGATATGATTCAGGGGTCTATCTCAACCGTTAAGGCATGATACTTTAGTTGTATGGAAGAGTGGTTCACCCAATGACAATCTGTTCAATAATTATTTCTCAAAGCTCATTCCATTAGAAAATCCAGGTACAAAACCAAATGTAAAATGGTGTTTTTGTTTATTTAACTACTACTGACCAGGCTGAGCCCATCAACTCACTCCAATCGAGAACAGGGGTGTTATTATACGCAAAAAGCTGTCCGGATTTGAACTCAGGATCTTTCAGCTGTGCTGGTTCAGTGCTCAGACATAGGGATTAGCCTCTAAGCTGCTGAATGTCTCTCAATTGATTTAATCTTTTAACTGAAGTTATTTGTTTAATATACTGTACATACTTTTTTATTCTTGGTACCTAATGTATAAATTGCACGAAGCATACTACCACGTATTACTTTATTATCTTCCATACCTGATCAAGCCATGTCTTTCCCAGGTCTCCAATGAAAAAGACATTGCCTCACTGGACTCCCCTCTCTTACAGACCATCAAACCTGTATTTTCAGGTCTCTCTAGCCAAATAAATGTCCCGTCTGAATGGGATTTAGGCTTTTTAAATGTATACTTGAAATAACTTGTACTGTATAGTATGTAATTCATTATGATTATGTTTGTTTATCCAGGAAAGCATCACCGATTCTCAAGACTTCTTTTCAGGAGGATCATGCAAAGTTTTTCGCAGTCGCAAAATGATATTCCAATTGAGTAATTTGCTGGTAGTCGTTTTAATTTGGACCATGATGCTGATATACAAAGGCCTACTTTTGCAAAAGACGTCGCGGGATCTTAAGCCTCCACCGTAAAGCGGACAGCGTGAAGTATGTTGTTGTTGTATCCTCAAATCTTGTAACTCAATTTTAACCCACTTCCAAATGTGGTATCGACTGCAAACTTGGTATACTTATGCCATACTGATGACAATACTATATTCTATCATTATTTTTTTTATTTTTAAACATTCTTTTTTATATGTTATGTTTCGGCTTGGGTCTAATTGTCCACGCTCAGCTAACGTTGGCTTTAAATCACCACGGTCCCTTACGTTATGGCAAGCTTCGCGGCCACTTCCTGGAGTCGTGGAGTTCTGCCATTACTAGTACATTTCATCAAGTTTTATAAAAATATTAGTTATTATTTTATGGTTAAGACACCCACAAGTATTAACCAGGGTGGCCGCTGAACTCGAAACGTGAACCTCTGCAACATGCGGTGAACGCGTTACCGCCAGGGATACCTCAAATGAATGCCTCATTTCTTTCAAACACTTTTTATTGCTTACGCAATATATAAGTTGAAAAAAAATTGTTACGCTGAAGACGATTTTTTAAAATCCGTAATTGGTGAACACGTCCAGACTTGCAGATGGCAGAAGTCATTCTACAACAAGATAACGCCAAGCCTTACGCAAGCCTGAGGACATGAGAGACCACAGGACCCGTTCAGGGGTACTATGCTGCCTCCATCCAACGTACATCCCAGTCAGGGCTAACCTCAGATTTTCATCTATTTCGCCCCATGACGGATGACAAATCTCAGCAACATTATTTTTATGCCAAGTGTCTGCGTCTGCTGCTGTGTCCTGTACAGCGCTTTGAGATCCTTGATGAAAAGCGCTATATACATGGAGTCAATAATGTAAACTAAGTTGCTGGAAAGAATGCCATTCGCAAAATTAAGACTTGTAGGCCAATGAAAAGTTCATAATTAAAGACAAAGCGGCATTACACTTGGCGCACACCCAGTATATTCTTCATGCGACTGTTTTGTAGACATTTCATCGGTGCTGGTCTCTCAATTCATGGAAATCGTTGCATCTCTGCGTGCTTCACTGCAAGGCCCGCTGGTCACTGGCGACCCCTGGTGGCCTTTTAGTTCGAGGCCCTCAAGTGCCCCCCCCCCGAAAATATACAAAAGTGAAAAATCCCGATCATGCTGTCAAACCCCCAATGGTTTCACATTTGTGGCGGACCTCACACCGCGATGTCTAATCGATGAAAGTGGCCCACATCTGACAATTAGTGAAGAACACTTCACTAAGAACACGTCTCAACACATCGGGATATAGATATATGCCAGAAATTCTAGATTTGAAGCTTTCGTGACTGCAAGGATCCATACTCTTTGGTTCTATTCGGTAAAGTCACGTAGGTAAAAAATTAAACAACAAAAATCACGACGTTTCGGCCACAAAAACAAGTAGCCTTCTTCAGGTGAAGGCACAGAACTGTCGGGACGACAGAGCTTCAATTGAAGCTCTTCAATTGAAGCTCTGTCGTCCCGGCCGAAACGTCGTGATTTTTGCCGTTTTATTTTTTACCTACGTGACTTTACCGAATAGAACCAGAGAGTATATGCCAGAAACTCACACGCAAAGATCCTCCACCTCCCCTCTATACACTTAACAGACTGTATGAGCAAGTGCACCATTGAAGGCCGGCACGGCACACGGAGGGGTGTGCCCCACCACCACAGCCGTCTGAGTTCTGACACCGCACCAGGTACTCGTTTTAAGCCGAGTCTACCTAGGCATATACAAACAAACACACATGTGTGTGTGTGAGAACCACCCTTTCCCCAATCGAGCACCTTGATCCTGGGGTCCAGACCGTCCGCGGCTCCTCGCTCCGCCTCTGCTGCGGAGACAGCAGCAGCAGCAGAAGAGGAGGAGGCAGTAGCCATCGCCTCGCTTCGCCCGCCTTTGCCACACCTTCACCCCCGCCTCACGCCATGCCTATCCCGCACCTTGCGGACCCGAGGGTCTCGACCGAGCCGGGATCACCCAGTTCCCGCGGGGAATCCAGGCGAGGTCGAGGCGGCGGGCGAGGCCCTCGGCTAAAGGCCTAGGAGGGAGCCGGCTGCCGAACGCGGGGCCGCGGCTGGCGGAACGGCCGGTGTCATTTGGTTTCCGCGCCTTTGAGAAAAGCCCGGGGCGCCGAGAAATTCCCGGGAGAATGAGAGTTTGGGAACTCTGCCGGGTGTTTTGGTTCGTGTGCCAGTGCTTGAATGCGTAAACAAAAAAAATGTTGCAGTTCCCACAACAAAACTTGACAAGCCGCGATTTGGGTACGTCAGCGCGCACGCGCCGGGAGGGACGGCGTCATCACGCAGGCGAAGACGTCACCGCGTCGTCACCCACCGTTCTCGGAATTCTAGCAATAGCCGAGCGAATCTCGATTTGAAGTTTTCGTGATTGCTGTGGTTTCCCCACCTGATGATGATTGCTTGTGTTGCAATCGAAACGTCGTGATTTAATTTATTCAATTTTATACCTACGTGACTTTACCGAAAGAACCAAAGAGTATGAATAGCCGAGCGCTGTGGCGTGGTAGTAGATTTTGAATATTTTATTTATATCCCCGGAGGTGAAATCCGATGAGCTACAATATCTGTCAACCCGCACGGTTTAATCCCCCCATTCTTGTACAGGGAAATTGAGTTTGCAGGTCCATACGGCGTACAGCCGTTTCAATACGGGCACACACACAAACAATGTGTCTATTTGTTTGTGTTTCTCTCCTTGTGATGGGACTTTGTCGGATGAACGTTGAGATTTATTAGGACACGGGGTGATGAGGGGTTGACAGGTATGGAGCTATGATGCTCTTTTTTCCCCACACATGTCCAGGAGGGGCACGGGGTCAGAACGTTACAGCAACAAACAATGGTGGGGGGGGGGGGACGATAGGAGTGCAAAGTACAGGAAAGGCAAACACATCTCTCTAAAAACATATAAACAAAACTAAACCATCCCCATCCTACCAGGCAAACAATTTCTGGATGAAGGTAAACAAATCGCTTAATATATATTTTTGGAATGACAACGTGAGGGCCGGCATTGGGTAATGGACTGATGGCGATTTACATTTAGGTACCATCCTCAGTAAACATGGGCCAACGTTGTTTGCCCATGTTTACTGGGTTCGCAATGGAATCTCAGACTATGCAACAGTATCTTCTGCGCTATCTGCATCACTAACAATCGTGAATTCATGGTTGCGCCAAAACTTTTTGCTACTACATGCCGACAATACTGAAGCCATATTCATCGGCTCCCCTCGGCATCTTTCAAAAATTGGTTCGCCTCGTTTGTTGATTGATGGTCACGATGCCAGTCCCACACGGGAGGTCAGAAACCTTGGTGTTCAGTTTAACTAGTCATTATCCTTTGAGGCACATATATCTAAGGTGGTTAAAATGCATTTTTCTACCGAATAAATATTGACAGAATGCATCGCTTTTTGTCACCTGCTGACTTGGAGAGACTGGTCCATGCTTTTGTGTCGTTCCGACTCGACTACTGCAACGCCTTCCTGGTTGGGATACCGAGCAAAGCACTGGGCCGACTCCAGCTTGTTCAGAATGCAGCTGCTCGAGTGCTTGCACCACGTACACGATTACACGAGCACATTACACCAGTCGTCTTATCTCTTCATTGGCTACCGGTCAAATTCTGAGTGGATTTTAATATACTGCTCTTAACCTATAATGCTTTAAAAGGGCTCACACCACATTACTTGCAGGAACTAATACATTTATATATTCCATCAAGGTCCTTAAGATATTTTGATCTCCAACTGCTCAGCACTCCCAGGTTTAGGTTGTGCTATTTTGGCAATCGGGCTTTGGTTAGTGTGGCACCTAAGCTATGGAACGTCTTGCCACTTGAAATCAGGCAATCAGAGTCGGTGGATATATTTAAATATGCTTTGAAAACCCATCTCTTTAAACTGGCCGTCCCTCTTTAGTTTGGTCGGTTGCCTTGGTTCTGTTTTTGTTTCCTGCTTTTCATGCATTGCACATTGGCATCCTATGATAGAATACGCATTATATATTTTTTATGTTGGTTAGTAAACGTTGGCCCAACATTCCATGTTCATTGGGATTCCATTGCTAATATGTATGGATGTTGAACTTCTTTTGCACCGTACATAGCCAACCGTGCTAATCGGAGGTGCGGAATGGTCATGTAAAGGGGGTTGTTTTGCTTGTCTTGCATATCTTACAAGCAAAGACTTAATATCTCACGGAATACTGTCGTTTATAGTAGGCACTTGTCTCCAGTAGCCACAGCTATAGAGAGAGAGTGGTATATTGGATGTGATGTGTCGGGTTGAAATATTTTTCGGCCCTTTGATAATTAACATTGTGCAGGCCCCACTGTATAAGGTGAGACTTTATTGCAGGCCAAATCTGATGCTTACTTTTGTGGATTTTATAATCATTGCCATGTTTGAGTTTTGTTTGGTTTCCAACGACATCAGATCGGTATCACTACATACAATTTATGTTTTTACGACGAACTTTTTCTCACGTTTGATTTTAAAGCATGTGTAGTAAAACGAAGCTTATCTTGTGGTGACCATAATATACTGCTAGATCAATAAAACAGCAACACTTGTAATGCATAAGTGTAGAGGCTGGGTGTCGCAAGTAAACATGAAACGTTGGCCCAACGTGGGTCGAACGGTTCCTACACAACCATATTACAACGTTGGCGTATTTACTGTGAGATCCTGGGCTATTGGACAGGATTTGGATGCTTCGTGAATGAGAAAAGATACTCTAAAGCTCCGGTCAAGTGCATCATCATGCTACTTATTTGCCGTCACTCTGGTGTCTTTTCCAAGATTCGTATGCGTCAATAGCAGTGTCCCAGTAAAGCGCAACTTTGGGCCAACATTGGTTCAACGTTCAGTGTTTTCTGGGGTGTCACTTCGAGCGCTGACGGGGCATCTTAACATAATTATAATCCATCAATCAGGAGTGCAAATTGATTTTATGAAATTTAATCGTTGCCTGCCTGGTGTTAATGTTTGTCCTGCAGCGTATCAAAGACATCCCGGTAACATGCAATGTTGGGCCAACGTTGGTTGACCTTGTACTAAGATTGTCCAACGTTACATGTTTACTGGGATACTGCAACGAGGATTCGTAATCATCATTGTAGTGTTTCTCTTGCCAAATAATTTCCCTGTAGGTTAACAAAATATACTTGAAAGCAATTGGCCAAACATCCCAATGCGAGGCCCCTGAAAAAGTCTTGACACTCAAGGATTTCTTGGATATAAGGCATTTTAAAAATGATAAATTACAGTAATATCCCGATTTACGTCACCCCCTTTTCCGTAGATTCGCAAATATGTCGTCACTTTATTAATACCACTACTTGATTTGCGTTGCCTCAACCCACACTTATGTCGCTGAGAGCATCCGTAATTTCTGATATCCGTCGCCTCAGCCTTCGCCTCCACCTACTCTGTAAATTGCTTTTATTTACATCGCTTTGATATTCGTCGTCGCACCTTTCAGGAACGTATTCCCAACCTAAACCGGGGTATTACTGTACTATTATATTTTGTAAGCACACAGCAGGGCCGCACCACACGTATTATCCTAGTAAGAACAAAACTCTTCCACATAGAGCTAATACGATTAGGCACTTAAGTCGATGAATCGACTGAAATTGTAATCATATAACTTTTTACTGGTAGGAACGAAGTTGTAAACTGAGTGTACCAGCCTGCAATAGATTAGTGTCCGTCCGTCCGTCCCCTTTCAATACTTTAACGAAGTGAAATCTCGTGTTGTTGGGTGTAAAATCAGCAATAGACAGCGCAGAGACTTGATATGTCTTATTGCACCCAACATTTGGAAGTCACATTATCTCATTTGCGAACTTCGCTTTTGGGGATGTGGCAAATTCACACACAGCCCACAGCCGAATACCATTTGCGAGGCGAAGTTCGAAGGCACCGTGACGTTACTTTGCCAATGTTCCTACCAGCCCACCCTGCAGGGACCTGTTTTTATGGTTGATTACTCACACCCAAAAAAGGCGCCCGCCTCCCCATTGCCTCCTGAAGGCGAGAAACCCCTACACGCCATGCCCAGTGTCATGCGGCTGATGATGCCGATGCTAAGCCCGGCTCATCGCAGCCCGTCCAGTTGGCACACGTGGGAACACAGGTGACAACCCCCCTCCCCAATTGTCATGTTATCTAATTAGTCAAGTAATCGAACCGATTATAATCAGAAGAGTAATCCCTTAATCGGATATCCCTATTTATACAGTCTAACGTGGCTAAACTGCATTGATGCTATAAATAATCTATAATTTACACTTCTAAAGCACTTTTCACCGGGAGGTTATAAGGCACTACAAAACAGACACGCACAGGGCACGCTCACACCAATAAAATCCAACTCCAAAAAATAAAGGAGTCAAGAAATCTATTAAAAGCCCTTAAACATGAGTTGCGTCTCAAGGAGCGATTTGAGTAATGCGAGGGAGTCAATAGAGCGAGCGTCCAGTGGAAGTGAAGTCCACAGCTTGGGGGCCACGCGAGGAAAGGCCCGGTCACCCATCGTACAGAGAGTGTGACTTTGGCACCATACGCGATGCTAATACAGATATTCTCATAAGTTAAGTGAAATTCTTGGTTCTTTCGGTAAAGTCACGTAGAAGGGAAACAATAAAATAATAAAAATATAAAGCAATATTATTTTATTGTTTCCCTTCTACGTGACCTTACCGGAAGAACCAGGAATATGAATCCCTGCAGTCACGAAAGCTTTAAATCAAAAGTTAAGTCAAGTTAATCTGTTGATCCATAATACAGGTTTTTTTTTGGGTTAGATCACGTAAGTATATAAATATGTAGTTAAACCCGCCACCACCCGACACAGCCAATTTATACTAAGGTTTGTCACTTAAACAGAACGTGCCAATTCGTCACTAGTACAGCACACCGGTGTGTTGGAGAGCAAAGCCACAACATTTACAATCTGAGTACGACGTTTCGCCAGTAATTACAACTAGCTTCATCAGGCGACAGCCACATTTGTGGAGCAGTCCTCCTGTTTCGTTCCTTAAATAGAGGCTTAGATGATCTATTTAACCGGGTGAGAACTCAATACACCAGGCCTCATTTGCAAGAGTCACCTTGGTCAAGTCACAGGCGGATGCGTGAGGTGATATCATGTTCTCCCCTTGGTCGCGTGGGGTTTTCTCCGGGTCATCCGGTTTTTCCCTCCACATTTAGAAACGTGCGTTTAGAGTATGTGACTGCTATACATTTCCACATGATAAGCCACTTCGTTGAGCTATCATTTGTGGCCAGTGGCGTCTGAAAAATGGCTATATAGCTCAGTGGGCCTTACCTGGTAAAATAAAAAGTTTAGTTTAAATGTGGTTAGGTTGCTCTTGTGTAAGCTCAGGGTAAGGGTTAAACTTTGCAAGAGCACAACAGTGGGATCCTGTACGCTGGCTGATCGTAACATCCATCCAAATCCTAAGACTTTACTTAGGCTTGTTAATGTATAATCCCATCTCACGGAACCTATTAATAATCTACCCCATCTCGATTAGTGCAAAGTACTCATCAACATAAGCTTAACCCAATAAGCCGTCCGAGACTCATAAAAGGAGTACCGATTTGTGGGAAGTCAACAATAGTCCCATGGTGAACTTGGTCCTGCCATACGAATGTGTAATTTCCACCACATTCGTATGAGGGCGGAGCCTCGTTTCCCATACACCTGTATTTCACACCCCGCCCCCCGGTCATTGCCCAAAAGGCCGCTATTTTAAATATCTGTTCCGTTAAAGCTGTGTTACTTGACAAACGTGTAGTTTTTTAAAACAAAAAAATCTCTGCATTTGCACCACATCCAACGAGGTACAGGATCTGAAAAAAATATTTTAGTAGGGGGCGGAGCCTCGTGTCCCGGACACTTGCATCGGAAGCACCTTTTCCTGATCGTAGAGGGGGGGAGGGTGCTTAAGGAGGTGGAGTCTCATGTCCCCCACACCTGCATTGGAAGCCTCTCCCCCTGGTCGTGGAAGGGGGGGTCCTTAATAGAGGGGTGGAGTCTCATGTCCCCCACACCTGCATTGGAAGCCCCTCCCTCTGGTCGCGGAAGGGGGGGTGCTTAAGGGGGTGGGGCCTCATGTCCCCCACACCTGCATTGGAAGCCCCTCCCCCTGTTCCCGGTGGAGGGGGGGTGCTAAGGGGGTGGAGTCTCATGTCCCCCACACCTGCATTGGAAGCCCCTCCCCCTGGTCGCGGAAGGGGGGGTCTTTAATAGGGGGGTGGAGCCTCATGTCCCCAACACCTGGATTGGAAGCCCCTCCCTCTGGTTGCACAAAGGGGGGGTCCTTAAGGGGGTGGAGTCTCATGTCCCCCACACCTGCATTGGAAGCCCCTCCCCCTGTTCCCGGTGGAGGGGGGGGTGCTTAAGGGGGTGGAGCCTTATGTCCCCCACACCTGCATTGGAAATCCCTCCCCCTGTTCCCGGTGGAGGGGGGGGGTGCTTAAGGGGGTGGAGCCTCATGTCCCCCACACCTGGATTGGAAGCCCCTCCCTCTGGTCGCAGAAAGGGGGGGTCCTTAAGGGGGTGGAGTCTCATGTCCCCCACACCTGCATTGGAAACTCCTCCCCCTGGTCTCGGAGGAGGGTGCTTCGTAGTGTCCCCCACACCTGCATTGGAAGCTCCTCCCCCTGGTCGCGGAGTGTGGGGGGGGGGGCTAAGTAGGGGGCGGAGCGTCGTGTCCCAGCGAGAGAGCGAGCGTGAGCCCCATTCTGCGCTTCCTCCTCCTCCTCATCCTGTGCTCGTGTTTATTTGATTTTATTCTCCTTCTTATCCTCCGCGCTCGTTCTCAGCCGCCGTGCCGCGGCCTCCGCCACCGCCACCATGAGCTGGGGCATGGAGCTGTGGGTGAGTTGCGGGTACAGAGCGCGGCGAGGTCCATGTTCACGGACGTGAGTGTGTGTGGACGCGCTGTATGGATAGCGTGCGCCTACACACACAGGTGTAGCCGGGGGAGGGCGAGGTGGGTTCCAATCTCAGCCTCGCGCCTGGAGAAAAGTAAGGTCTGAGACCCGGATGGGTGGCGATGCCAGCGTGACTCGTCATCCCGCCTCGGCTAATCCTTCAATTACATCATCACCGCAAACTTGATCACCGTCATCATCAACCTCCTCACCAACTTCAACATCATCATAATCATCGTCGTCATCAACCTCTTCACTCACAACTGTAATCAGCCTCATCATCATCGTCATCAACTTCATCATAGCCAACATCATCATCATCACCGTCATCAACTTCATCATAGCCAACATCATCATCATCACCGTCATCAACTTCATCATAGCCAACATCATCATCGTAATCATCTTCCTCATCACCATTGTCATCAACATCATCACCAGCTTCATCGGCCCCGTAACCATCATCACTATCAGCATCACAATCATCACCGTCATTAACATCGTTATACCCTGGTCACTGCCACAATGAGACTATACTGGTCTCTTTCAATTTTCACGTGGTTGAACAAATCAGCTTGATTTGACTTGGGGTCTATGTGTGCATATGTAACCAGACCGGCTTTGCTCCGCTGTTTTCTCACAAACTGTGTATCACACCGCATCACCACCACCGTGATCATCATTGTCATCGGCATAGTGTTGGGGTTGATAAGCCGAGTACCAATTCACAGGAATTTAAAAAGTGGTTCTCCAGTGGAAAATCTGGCTCTCGTCGCGCGAATGTGGAATTTCAGAATGTGGTTTACAACAACCGACGTTTTAGCAGTATGTAATGTAAGGTTGTATGTTACGTAGGAGTGAGTAAGGTAGGGATGTAAGTAGCGTAGGGATGTGTGTAAGGTAGGGATGTGTGTAATGTAGGGATGTATGTTACGCAGGGATGTGTGTAATGTAGGGATGTATGTTACGCAGGGATGTGTGTAATGTAGGGATGTATGTTACGCAGGGATGTGTGTAATGTAGGGATGTATGTTACGCAGGGATGTGTGTAATGTAAGGATGTGTGTTACGCAGGGATGGATGCGTGTAACGTAGGGATGTGTGTAAGGTAGGCTTTGTGTGTAATGTAGGGACGTGTGTAATGTATGGTTGTGTAATGTAGGGACGTGTGTAAGGTATGGTTGTATGTAATGTAGTGATGTGTGTAATGTAGTGATATGTGTAATGTAGGGATGTGTGTAAGGTAGGGTTGTGTGTAATGTAGGAATGTGTGTAAGGTATGGTTGTATGTAATGTAGCGATGTGTGTAATGTAGGGTCGTGTGTAAGGTATGGTTGTGTGTAATGTAGGGTCGTGTGTAATGTATGGTTGTGTAATGTAGGGACGTGTGTAAGGTATGGTTGTATGTAATGTAGTGATGTGTGTAATGTAGGGTCGTGTGTAAGGTATGGTTGTGTGTAATGTAGGGACGTGTGTAATGTATGGTTGTGTAATGTAGGGACGTGTAAGGTATGGTTGTATGTAATGTAGTGATGTGTGTAATGTAGTGATGTGTAATGTAGGGATGTGTGTAAGGTAGGGTTGTGTGTAATGTAGGAATGTGTGTAAGGTATGGTTGTATGTAATGTAGCGATGTGTGTAATGTAGGGTCGTGTGTAAGGTATGGTTGTGTGTAATGTAGGGTCGTGTGTAATGTATGGTTGTGTGTAATGTAGGGATGTGTGTAACTTAGAGATGCGTGCCAGGTCATTAAAACAAATTCCTGCACGAACTCCACAACGGACTGGAAGGACACGTTCACCCCACCACCCACACATGGTGTGCCTCAATAAGCGATACACATCAGCATCAACACACGCGTGTACAATCCCGGTGTGGACGTGGAAAATAATAATATACAGTACACCAATCCCCAATCACACACACACTGACATCCAGAGCTATCTCTCGGGTACGGCGAAGTGGGGCGACCGCCCCAAACCCCGCTCTTCGATGGCACGGTGTCAGATGTAATTCTTCCGTTTTAGTTTGAAGGCGTCGGTGGGGGGGGGGGGTCACACAACGTGACCTACCCCGGGCCCTCCAACCCCCTATGGACAGCCTTGCTGACATCTAAACACTGTGGCCGATTTGTAATAAAGGTTTTTTAGATCGCATAAACATAAATGTCGTTAAACCATCACCACCCGACACAGCCAATGAGTAAGAGTTTTCACGTAAACAAAACGTGCCGATTAGTTATTACTTCAGCGCACTGGTCTGGTAAACCCACAACATTTACAATTCGAGCACGACGTTTCACTGGTGATTACAACCAGCTTCATCAGGCGGTTTGCCAGAATTGTGAAGACGTGTTTCTGTTTCGGTCTTAAATAGAGTAAAAGTTATGTCATCACTGTGAGTCGACCAGGTGCAAATACCACGGGGGGTGTGGGGGGGATAAACGTAGTCATACATTACAATGGATGATGTTATTATGAGTGACTACTTGTCGGTTGGCACGTTTTGTTTTCGTGAGAACCCTCACTGTGTCGGGTGGTGGTGTGTTAACGACATTTATATTTTCGCAATCTAACCCAAAACATAATAATATTATTGGTCGCGAAAGCCTGCCGCGTGTCCAACTGACCACGTAATCGAGTGCACAGCAAAACAATACAATCCCCAATTCAAATACAAAGATCCGCCCCGCCCCCCCCCTTATAGCCTTCAACAGACTTTTGGGGCCGGTGCTGTTAGCGAATTGCACCCACGAGGTGGGGGGTGGGTGGCCAGCACCACATCCCGGCAACATTTTGTTTTCACCGGTGCTGATGTTTGCGCAGCGCACCAGGTGCTCCTCTTGAGGCTGCGTCGATCTTAGGGTGGGGGTGGGAGAGAGAGGCCCAGGTTCGGTTCAGATATCACTCGCCAATGATGGATAGCCGTGGACCGGGAATCGAACGTCGGTGGCGGGGCCCGCGTTAGTAGCGAGGTAACGCCTACCACCGCGCCACCGCTCCCCCACACGTGAAACGCGTGCGCGGCACAACACACGCGAAACAAAAGCACGCACCTACAGTCCACTACGCAATCAACTACACTTAGCTTGTACCAGAATATTGGACCAGGCAGTAAAAGCACACGACCATCATCATAATTAATTAGCCTTTCCCCCGCACCTTTTGATTAGCGCGGTTGGCTACGTACGGTGCGAAAGGCGTTCAACGTACACAGGTACAACAAACATGACCTGTTGGTTGACCCCAGACCCACTGCAATACACGTCACCACCGCTGTGCACCTTTATCCTGGTTCATATTGCACAGCAAAATACACAAATCGCCTGCGTAGCGCGCACGCTTATTGTACAGAATGCTGAACATCAATCTCGCCGTCATTCACGCACGCGCGCGCGCGTATATTGGTACATGCCGTGAGTTTCAGTCGCTTCATTGTTGTACGTTGCCTACATCCAGATCGAAAACCAATCTTTTTCGGTCAGCTTTTTGTGTTGCGTTTGTTGTCCTTTCCTCGCACCTCGGATTAGCGCGGTTGGCTACGTACGGTGCAAAAGAAGTTCTACATACATGCTATAGAAGTTCTACATACATGCTATACATGTGATCGCTAGCTCGGTTGGCTACGTACGGTGCGAAAGAAGGTCAGCGTACATGTTGTCGCTTTTGTCATTTTGGCGAGCCAAGTTCTCACGTGGTTAACCAAAGCATTAGTGCGGCTTGGAAGCGTATTATTAAATAATACAGAAGTCCCTGCAGGGTGGGCTGGTAGGACAAGTCTCTGCGCTGTCTATTGCTGATTTTACACCCAACTGCACGAGATTTCACTTCGTTAATATTGAAAGGGGATGGACGGACGGACACATTAATCTATTGCAGGCTGGTACACTCAGTTTACAACTTCGTGCCTACCAGTATTACAATTCCTTATAGGGGAAACACATACTAATTAACGGATTACTAACGTAGCATATAATCACAATAACACACATTACAACTAATTACTAATCTACAACTTATTACTAATCATAACCATTGACTGATTAGCAATCGATTATATAATTACTGCACCTGAATGAGTTTAAGGATGACGTCACCCTGCTGCTCTATTTAAGACCGGGAGCAAGCGAGGGCTTTACCATTCTGGCGAATTGCCCGATGATGCTGGATGTTATTACCGGCGAAATGTCGTACTCAAACTGTAAATGTTGTGGATTCACTCTTCAACACACCGGTGGGATAAAGTAGTGAACTATTTGTCTTTTGTCAACGTGACACTTTTTTGCTGATTGGCCGTGTCGGGTGGTGGAGGGTTACGACACATTTGTAAATAACACGACCTAACCCAAAAACCTTTATTATGAATAATATTGGTCGCGAAACCCTACGTGTTAAACAAAGCACTAAGCCTACACCTGAAACTATACAGGTCTACAGCCCATTACACAAATCATCTACAGGCACGCACGCACACACACACACGTGTAGACTGTGACAAACGCCTCCATGAGAACAAACACAGCGATGTCGCCATGCGGACCTTTTCACGACACGTGCCATTGGCGAGCGCCTGTTAAGGCCGTCACGGCGCACGAGCGTGAGTGGTGTGGTGAGTGGTGTGGTGTGTGTGTGGTGTGTGTGTGGTGTGTGTGTGGTGTGTGTGTGGTGTGTGTGTGGTGTGTCTCTCCAGTGTTCATGTTTACACACCACGCCAGGCACCCAGTAAAAGACGCGCAACGTTGCGTCAACGTTCGTCCAATGGTTTTCCAACCGCATGCCGGGAGGCCCAGGTGGGGTTACCACCTATATCCGAGTTTCTCCCCAGGATCGTTTTTTTGTTGTCGAGATAAGCTCCAGGGATCGGAAATTAAAAATAACAACAAGGGCGTTTACCCCACGTTTGCATTGCCGCAATACATTACGTGGGGTAGACGAAGGTGTGGTC